AAATCTCGATTATATCCTCATAAGTCTTTTACAACTTTTTTTAATTGTTTTATTTTGATTCTTTGATTTTTTAGGCACTAATGCATTCATGTAATTTGATTGTCGAAGTCTATCATTGATTGAGTTTTCTGCTGAATTTTTAGTTGGTTAACCCTTTTAGCATTATCATGCTCAATAATTAGGCCAGGATGATTATCAAAAGTAGTTATATTACTTTCATCAGTATTGAATCGGATCCTTTTATTTTCTTGTATAGAACCTGTAAGAAATTAGTAAAATTGATTAGTGACAATGATCTGATTATAATATTTTTCACAAATTGAATAAGTCTCTAGAGAAGAATAAAGGTTAGAAAGTTTAGGAAAATAATAATGGTAAAGTGCGAGTCACTTAGCTGTTTCTTGATTACTAGCATTTCACCAATTTTATGTTTTCTTTATTTCACATGATTTTAATTCAACTTCACTGTACTTTCAACTAGTTTCGCAAAGACACATTGAAGGTCTTTCACTCTTAGTTTCAGATAAGCAGACACTAGAACTATTATTTAAATATTAACTTGCATTCATTATTTATTTTACAACAATTTTGGAATTTTCAGGTCTCATTTACTTTTTCAAAGGGTGTTAACTGCATTGGATTATTTGTGATTATGAAAACTAGACGTTTTTTATTTACTATTTGTAAAGTTTTAACAATTAAACAAATTTTGTGAAAATCTATTAAAAGTATAAGACTAAAAAGGATAAGTACAAGCCAATCAAATTTTAAAAGAACATTCTAAAATCCATTTTCATTTTTGTTATATTCCCTGACTGTATTAAATTTAAACAAATCATCAGATCATGTGATATTATAATAACATATATAAATAACCCTAATCCCCAATCCTAAATACACTAACTTTAACTTACCTAACCAAATTGATAAAATAAGAATGACAAATAGGTTTTTATACCCTAAAAAAAACTAAGTTCCCAGATTAAATAGTAAAAAAATGAAACATGCTGGGTGTGACAGATTATTATATTACATGGTCTGGTGATGTTAACTAAATTATATATATGGGAGCTTGTCAATAGAAAAGAAGGAAATCTAAAAAAAATTAAAATTTTACTTTATATGCTAAATATGATTTTTTTTAGTAAAATAAGTTCAGATATAACTATAAAAACTTTTTTTTTTTAGATTTACCCCCCTTTCTATTAATAATTTATAAAATCTAAATTTATTAATATTAATATATATGATATTGTATTTTATTCATTAAATTTAAAATTATAATATAAATTTTTTTTTTTTTTCAAAAATTCCAATATAGTCTATTAAAACGAATAAGAAAAAAAAATTATTTATTATTTGACGATCATTAAATAATTTTTTCCAAAACTTGTTCTTCCGCTGGAATTATCCAAAAAGGATAATTAGAATTATTTTTCGTAAAGCCGAGCCACCGAATTTACTCTCATTATAAATAATATAAATTTAATTGAACCATTTTGGGACTTTGGACAATATTTAAAAAAAAAAAAAAAAAAAAAAAATTTTTTTATTAAAATTTTGTTCCGTTTTATTTTCTTAAATAGTCCTTATTCTAACGCTGTAAAGCATTTCGAAAAGTTATTTATAACAATGCTAGAAGGTAAGCATGATATCGCCGCGGTGATAGTACTTATATTTTATTAAAATATCGCAGCAGCTAGTTCAACTAACACTTTAAAAATAATAAATAATTTTATAATATTATAGAAAGTAAGTATATTGATTTAGCTATATTTTCACAATAAATGATATAATCTAAATTTTTTCATCAAAAAAAAAAAAAAATTTAATATTACAAGACGGTAATTTAATTAATTTTATTGATTATTTAATGTATTATATAATCTAAACTAAATTTTTTATTATATCGATGCCGCTATTTTATTTTTTTTAATTTCAATTCAATTAATTTTTTACTTCAAAAAAAAGCAATTAAAATTATAGTCGGTAAGTTTTAATTTATAAATTCTTTAGTTTTTTTACACATAATAGTTAATTTTTAACAAAATTTTTTTTTTTTTTATAATAATTAATACTAAATAAAGATCGTAAGTTGGTTGGTTTAATTGATAATTCATCTGTACCTATATATACTAATCTAAAAATTATAAATATTTATCAATAGCAACGAATCAAAACAGAGATTATAATTTAGCAAAAAGTTACCAAAATGGAAGTGGAATTGAAAACGATTTAGAAAAAGCATTCGAATTGTATCAAAAATTAGCAAAAGATGAATATATAGATGCAAAATATGATTTAGCCAAATGTTATCAAAATGGATGGGGAACTGAAAAGGATTTAAAAGAAGCATTTTATTGGTATCAAAAGTCGGCGGATCAAAATAATAGTGATGCACAATATAATTTAGCTAAATGCTATCAAAATGGATGGGGTATTGAAAAAAATTTAGAACAAGCATATGATTTGTATCAAAAATCAGCGAATCAAAATAATAGTGATGCACAATATCATTTGGCTGAATGTTATCAAAACGGATGGGGAACTAAAAAAGATTTAAAAAATGCATTTCATTGGTATCAAGAATCTGTAAAAAATGAAAATAAGGTTGCACAATATTATTTAGCGGAGTGTTATCAAAATGGATGGAGAATTAAAAAGGATGAAGTTAAAGCATTTGAATTATATGAAAAATCAGCAATTCAAGAATATAGTGATGCACAAAACAAATTAGGATTTTTTTATGAAAATGGTATAGGAATTGAAAAAGATTTAGAGAAAGCATTTTATTGGTATCAAAAATCAGCTGAAAATGAAAATAAAATTTCACAATATAATTTGGGTAATTATTATTATTATGGAAAAGGTATTAACAAAGATATTAATAAAGCTTATGATTGGTATAATAAATCAGCCAAACTAAATTATAGTAATGCACAAAATGACTTAGGATATTTTTATGAAAAAGGTATAAAAGTAAATAAAGATTTAGAAAAAGCATTTTTTTGGTATCAAAAAGCAGCAAAAAATGAAAATCATTTTGCACAATGTAATTTAGCTATTTGTTATCAATATGGCTTAGGAATTGATGAAAGTATGATTGAAGCATTCAAATGGTTTAAAAAATCAGCTGAAAATGAAAATGAATTTGCTCAATATAATTTGGGATTTAATTATGAAGAAGGAATATTTATTAAAAAGGATTTTAAAAAAGCATTTTATTGGTATCAAAAATCAGCTGAAAATAATAATGAATTAGCACAATGTAAATTAGGAAATTTTTATGAAAATGGTATAGGAATTAAAGAAGATTTAAAAAAAGCATTTTATTGGTATCAAAAATCAGCTGAAAATGAAAATAAAATTGCTCAATATAATTTAATTAAATGTTATGAAAATGGTATAGGAATTAATAAAGATTTAGATAAAGCATATGAATGGCATCAAAGATTAGTAAATAATGAAAATAAATCTGAAAGAAGTTTTGGAAAATATGAAGCTAATGGTCAAAATAATAATCAAAATATTAATGCAATTGAATTTATTAATAAAACCTTAAAAAATCAAGTTAAATTTATATCTTTTAATGAATTTACTGATTTAGAGCAACTTGATAAGGGAGGTTTTGGAACTATTATAAAAGCAACTTGGTTGAAAACTGGTAATTCTATTGTATTTAAAAGATTAATAAATACAAATACTATTAGACAAGATGCTTTTATTTATGAATTAAAAATTCATTTATATCTTAATTATTGCAATCAAATTATACATTGTTTAGGTATTAGTCAAGGTAATTATTAATAACTATATATTAGTTTATTTTGTAAAATTTATTTATTAATATATTAATTATAGATTTAAAAACAAATGAATATCTTCTTGTAATGCAATATGCTAATGGTGGTGATTTACAAAGTTATCTTAAAAATAATTTTAATAATTTAACTTGGAATGATAAGAAAAAATTAGCATTTCAAATTGCAAATGGATTAAATTATTTGCATAATGAAGATGTTTTACATAGAGATCTTGTAAGTATCATTTTATTATACTTATATATTTTGTAATATATATTAGAAACTGATTTAAATTATTAATTTTATTTAGCATTCTAAAAATATACTTATTCATAATAATAATGTTAAGATCACAGATTTTGGAATTTCTAAAATTGGAAATAATTCTACTAGACATATTGGACCTTGTGGTAAAATTGCTTATATAGATCCACAGATACTTATAAATCACAACTTTCAATACAAAAAACCTTCAGATATTTATAGTTATGGTGTTTTAATGTGGGAAATTTCTAGTGGATATCCTCCATTTAAAGATTTAAATGATACTACTATTTGTGCTGCTATTATTAATAATAATGCTCGTGAAATTACTATATCTGATACTCCTAAGGATTATGAAAAACTCTATAAAAAATGTTGGGATCAAGAACCTGAACAAAGACCAACTATTACAGAAATATTAGAAGAATTTTCAAAGATGAGTTTTATAAATAAACCGATTAAAAGTATGTATTTTTAAAATAATTAATATTTATTGCATTTTTTATGTTTATTTTTTATATTAATTTATTTAATTTTAATAAAAATTTAAGTGAATATTAATATGTTTGAATTGATTAATAAAAAATTAAATAATAAAGTAAAAGTCATTCATTTTGATGAGCTACTTGATAAAAAATCATTTGATAAAGGCGCTTTTGGAAGTATTATAAAAGCAACCTGGTCAAAAACAAATAATTATACTGTCTGTAAAAAATTAACTAAAACACATATATTCGAATGTGATAATGATATATTAAATGCATTTATTTATGAGATAAAAATACACTTGCATCTTAATTATAGTAATCGAATTGTTCGTTTCTTAGGTATTAGTCAAGGTAATTAAATAAGTTTAATTATTCTTTAAGAAAATTCTAATTATTAATTAAAAAATTGTTTATAGATCCAAGTACAAATGAACTTTATTCCATAATGGAATATGCAAATGGTAGTAATCTTCAAAGTTACCTTAAAATTAATTTTGAAAAATTGACTTGGAATGATAAAAATCAATTAGCTTTTCAAATTGCCGATGGGTTAAATTATTTACATAACGAGGAGGTTTTGCATAGAGATCTTGTAAATATTTACTTTTTTATTATATTATTTGATAAATTTATATATACTTTTTTAATCATTACTTTTATTTAGCATTCTAAGAATATAGTTATTCATGAAGATAATGCTAAAATTACAGATTTTGGTATTTCAAAAGTGGAAAATAATTCTACAATGCATATTGGTCTTTTTGGTAAAGCCGCCTATATGGAACCACAAATACTTACAGATCAAAGCTTTCAATATATTAAAGCTTCAGATATTTATAGTTATGGTATATTAATGTGGGAAATTTCTAGCGGATATCCTCCATTTGAAGATAAGTATAATAATAATCAGGACCTTATAATTGATATTACTTGTCATAAAGTTCGTGAAACTACTATACCAAATACACCTGATGATTATGAAAAACTATATAAAAAATGTTGGAAACAAGAGCCTGAGCAAAGACCAAATATTAAAGAAGTATTGCAAAAATTTTTGAAGATGGGCTTTGGAAAAAAGATTGACAATGACACAGCTGAAAGTAAATAATTTATTGAGTTTTTCTTTATAATGTATATTATTTTTATAATTTATTTTAATTTATAAATATATAGAAACCATTAATGAAAATTTATCAGAAAACAGAGATAATAGCACTTCTGATTCGGGTTCAAAAGTTGGCGAAGCTATTCAATATGAAACCTATGAGGATTTATGTGGTAAGTTAGCCTAATTAAATTTTGATCTTATAATTATAAGCTTATTAATTAAACCTAATTATTTATATTTAGTACTAAATTATTAAGATTAGAATACATTCTTGTTATTCCATTGAAGGATAGCTAGTTTATTTACGGGATTTAGATTAACCACAACCCGTATCCGTAACTGGATATGGGTTTATCTCATTGGTGGAATTATTAATAGAATTTATTTATTTTTTTATTTATTCTCGCAATCTATTTAAGAAAATAATACATTCGAGATTATTAATAAAAAAAATATAAACAAAACATCCATCGATCGTAACACTAAGTATAATAGAAATTGACACCTTTATATAGGCAAAATTGGGGATTCTGGGACAGATTTCAAATATACCCCAAGTATACCTCCAAACCCGCCTACGAATCAAATTTGCTATATGATTTCCAATATTAAATTCAAGTCTCTAGCGCTTTTTGACTCAATTCTAGATGATGTTATCGAACTTGGCTAGGAATTAGCCTATCTGATATCAAGAACTAAACTGTTTGATTTAGCTATTCTAGCCTGA